TTGCTTTTAGAGGTCTATTTTACTGCTTTTACTATTGATTTACCATAAAAATCTGATTCCTAGATTTTATCTATCAAGCCTACAACTCTTTTAAAAATGTATTACATTGTTTTCTCCTTTTATCTGTTATTTTGTCCCTCTTGCCTTTTTATGTTTGTATGCCCTTTTTTCTAACTTCTTCAGGTCTATGCATTTCTCACTGAGGACTGTAAGTGCACTTCAGAGCAGCTTTGCCCTTAATCTCCTGAATTTTGATGTATATGACTTTACTGTTGGCATTTTCTGAATATGCAGTATTTAGAGTTTTAAATTTCCTCTTTGGCCAAAGAATTATCAAAGATAAATTACTGTTTTTATATTTCATTTAATTAGCTTCTTAAAAACTTTTTAGAATTAATTACTAGTCTATTTTCTATGGTCAGACTATGCCATCTGCTCAATTTCTACTTTGTGTATTTCATAAAAGTTTCTCAGCATTGTAAGATCATCTGACAATACTGTGTATTCTGTTTGTAGTTTAGACATTTTTTTTCTTTCTTTCTAACAATCTATATTAACCAAGATTAAGTGCTTTAAAAAAAAGCAATAGTGATAGTGGCTTTACTGAAATAATAGTTTATTTCTTGTTCCTGCAACAGCCTCACGTGGTTACGATTTGTCTGGTGATCTGCTCTAATAAATGGATCAGGCATCCAACTTCCTTTTGCCTCCCAAAGGCAGTACCCCTCCAAGGGCAGCGGTGCACCAATTCTTATCTGTTGGCAACTGAACCATGAGCTTGCGGTAGACTGTATTAGCTGTATTACCTACCACACTTCTCAATGGAGGAAACAGTACCCGCCATAGGACCTTAGAGTCCCTATTGTATTCTCTACACCTTCTTAGCAGACTAGGAAAATGAGACAGTGGAGAGAATTGTCAGGAAGCTTCTTTTAGCAGTAGCCAAGCCTGGAGGTGGCATATATCATTCTGCCTGCATTTCATTGGTCAAAACTCACCTGACCGTGTAATGTAAATGTAAATGTAAAGGAAGCTGGAAATATACAGGGTAGCTGAATGCCAAGAGGTAAAAAATGGATTTTTGTGAGCATAGTAGTCTCTGACATAACTTTCTCTGTATGTTCCTTTCCCCACGATCATCATAGGAATACTTAAAGCACTTCTTGTGGTTTTGTTGCTGTTTTCTAATTTCCATATCATTGATTGTCTCCTCTACTTGCAGCAATCTAGTATTCCTTCCCTCCATTGTATATTTCATTTCAGTTACTGTATTCCTCAGCTATAACTGGCTCTTTTTCAGCTCTTGTATCTCTTTGTTGAAGTCCTTCCTGAGATTGTCAATATGAGTTTTCACTTGGAAATCTTTATCAAGAAGATTGGTGATAAATCTGATAATTTGTGAAAATTAGCTAAATCTGTTTCATTTAGCCCTCTTTCTGGTATCATATCCTATAGTTTTGTTTAGAACATATTCCTCTGCCTCCTCATTTTCTCAGGGTTTCTTTGTCTCTTCCTTTGTGTTAGGTGGATCCACTATGCTTCCTGATCTAGAGCGTAATGGCTTTATGAAGAAGGCATCCTGTGGTGCCCAGAAGTTCAGAACTCTTTCCTCTCCAGTGCCTGGTTCTCCCTTGCTGTGCAGCCCCAGTTGCTGTTGATGTGCAGTGGGTACGGTCACCTTTTTGTCTGTCTGCCAGCAGTGGTTTCTCTCAGCCTGCTGAAGTGAGAGGGTAATAGTTTGGGGAGCAAGGAAGTTATGACATGACCCCCAGATCCTGAGGCACATAGGTGCTTTGGTCATCTCAAGGCACTATTGCTGTTGGGCAGCCAATCTGGGGAGATCTCCATGCATGCTTGTGAGACTTCAACCTGGAGAGTTCTTGACTCTGATCAAGAAAGAATTCATGAACAGGTCTTATAAATATAGGTAAGGAAAGAATTCATTAAAGCAAGAATAGTAGTGAATGGCAGCAACTGTGCATGCAGTAGAGAGCGAGGAAGAACAGAGGGAGAAAAGGAAACTTCACTGAACTCCTGCTCAGCATGGGAAAGATCCTTTGCCAACTCCTGAAGCCAGGGTCACCTGTTGTCCATTGTCCATTTGGTATATGTGCATGGTGTGGGAAATAAGCCCCTACCACCCCAGGATATGGGGGAGCAGCAGGACACTGGATGGGTGAGATTATGTTCTGAGAACTTCCCCAAAGGACAGAAAAAATTTTGGGCAGGTGACTAAAGAGTATGATTGTACAGCTACAGTTCCATCCTGGTCACCCAGGTGATGGGAAATTGCAAGCCTAAATCAGAGATCTCAGTAGCCCTTCACTACTTGTCTGAAGCAGAACAGAGAGAGTAAGACTGCTCAAGTCTAGAAAATTGAATGAAATAGCAAAGTAACAAAGAGGCTTACTACTGAGAAAGGGGTGTCTTACTAACCTCCCAAGAGGCTTAGAGGAGAGCATAGACAAAACACAGTAATTTGAGCAGCAAGGAGGCTTTATCTGAGGCAAAGTACACACTCAGAGAAAGGGGAGTGTGGGTAGCCTCAGACAAGAGACATGCTTAAAGGCTAAGGTTTGGTGTCTTTTAAGGATTTCAAGAATGAGGCATAGAGCCAGGGAGGTGTAGGCTTGACATGTGGTCTCATGATGTCTATCTCTGGTGAGAGACATTATGTCATCATCCATAGTCAGTCCTCTAGATAAACTTAATACAAGGAATCTATTGATCCTGTTCTTCTCCAAGATAGGGGTTACCCTCAAGAAGTGGAAACATATTTAGGACTGCTTGCCCTGCCTTAAGATAGGGTCAGTTGCTGGCTAATTACCATAAAGTATCTTAGGAATCTTACCTCCTAACTCCCCGTTTTTAAAATGGAACCTTAGCTTTAAGATGGAGTCCCTCCTGTTCTTACTATACTATTTATATCCAGGCATTTTTCATCATAGGCAGGAAAAATTAATCATGATGCTTGTCCCATGTCCCTGCTCTACCTATTATAAATTACCATAGACGGGGGTCTTAAACAACAAACATGTATTTCTCACAATTTTGGAGGCTGGGAGGTCTAAGACCAAAGTGCAGACATACGCAGTTTCTGCAGAGAGCCCTTCTTCTGGTTTGCAGACTGCCGCATTCCCCCTGTGTGCTCACATGGAGGAGAGAAGGGGCCCTTGTCTCTCTTCTTCTTGTAAAGATGAATCCCATCGTGGGGGCTCTACCCTCATCCTTATCTAAACTCAGATACATCCCAAAGACCTCACCTCCTAATACTATCACATTGGGGTTGGAATTTCAACATATGAATTGGGGAAGTGGGACACAAACATTCGGTCCATACAAGGAGTATTTCAGAAAAGTGTAAGGGTTGACTTTGAAATTGGAAAGAAGTCTGGAAACTAGGATAATTTTGTGAGGGGTTCCCACTAAATATTATTATTTTTCACCCTTGTGTTCCTGGAACATTCACATTAACATCCAGTTAAATTTTTTAAATTGTAATACCACCTACTCAATATCAAACTTCAATTTTTACTGAAGTCTATTACAGATACAATCTTTGTGTTCATGGTATTCTGCAGCATTAAGGTGTGGGCAGTGAATCTGAGTATGACTTTTCATGCATACCTCTCTACCCCCATAGGCAGCATATGCAGTGTCACCAGCAGCAAAAGGAACATTGTTCCTTGGTGGACCTAACCTAGGAGAATGTTAAATCCAATCAATTGGTCTGCAGAAATCCTGGGGCAAGCACTACATTTATTACATCAGTGGTTAGTTGGACAATGCTGAAAGATTACTGAGAAGGACATTTTGAGAAATTTGGAGAACTTAGAGATACCCAGGTGGCAGATATTTAGGATATTGCAAAATGGACTTTCAGAAAGAAGGGAGAATGGATTGAACTGTCTTCAACTAGGACAGTGAGGATGGGAGCAGAAAGGAGGTGGAAAGAGATACAGGATGTTGGAAAAGTGAAAGAAGCAGAATTGGGCATGTAATTGCCCATGAAAAAAATCTTACTTTTTCCACTTATTAACTAATGCTTTTCAAACTCTATTAATATACAGAACTTTTGTTTTTATTTTAAGTAGGGATTAAGGATTTGGGTTATAATGTATCTTTTTAGTTGAATTTTTCCCAATGATTTGAGTTTCCCTCTCACTGGAAATATATAGGGGTTTATGTGATTTAGCTGATGGCCTTTACGGAAGGCAGTTTTGTGGTTAGGTGTCTGATAGAGGCCAACTGACTGAGTTGAATTCCAGCACAGCATCCCAGCTCACAGCTTCTTGGCTGGGTGACCTTGGCTATTGGCTTACTCTGCGCATTATTTCTTCTTTAAAATTGGGGTTAATAATAGTGTCTACCTCATACAGTTGCTTCAAGGATCAAGGGAGTTAAGATGTGAAAAGTACTTAGAACAAGTAAGCAGGTCTAAGTGTTAGTTACAGTCATTTACTTTCTATTTGCTACACTACTGAGGCAATACATTCCTTGAAGGTACTATTCATAACATGTTAGGAATACAACATAACTCTATTTTGACTTTTAAAGTTAATATGTGCATAAAGTCAACAAAAAATACCAACGGTATGCCTGTACTGTCCATTATGGTAGACAGTAGCCCCATGTGACAATTTAATTCGAATAATATTAAAAATTTAGTCCCTTAGTTGCACTAGCTCCAATTCAAGCACTCGAGTCACATGTGGCTCTAATTAGCTAGAAAACTGGACAGTGCAGAAATAGAAATAGCTATTCATCATGGTGAAATAGCTATTAGAGCTGACAGTGAAATGCTCCATCCCATGTTCACCCCAGTCCCTCTCTCCAGGGGCAGTCACTGTGACAGGTATCTTGTGTAGCCTTTAAGGACACACACACACACTTCTGTTTACACAAATCATTTTTTTTTACCCGATCATTTGCACCATCCTGCACCTTATTTTTGCTTTAAAATATACTATTGATTTCTTGAACAGTCAGTTCTCCACATTTAATCAATGAACAGTTCAAAGATTTAGAGCATATGATATGGGACCAGGCAGAAGGAACGAACAACTTCCGTTTCCTTTGTGCACGGCAGATGCAGAACCCACGCTAAGGCTGGGCCAACTGAAGCCACCAACCCATAATCGGGTGCCCACCAGCAGGGCAGGGAGCCCTTCGGCCCCTGTCCCTGTGCCACGAGGTCTCCGCGGGGCATCCCTGTAGGGGTGTCTCCTACGAGTTGGGAGGCCCGCCCGCAAGCGACCGAAGGAGCGAAGGGCCGGCCACCCACCGCTCCCAGGCTGCCGAGAGCGGGACTCCGCCTCCCACCCGCGCGCACCGCCGCCAACAGCCGGGGGCCAAGGATCCCCGCAGTCCGCCCGGAGCGCGGCGCCCCCTGCCGTCCGTTCAGGGAGCCCGACGCGGGCTCGCGGAAGCCGGGAACATGGCGGGGCGGCCCGCGGCCCCCGCCTCGCCGCCGCCGGACCGGGACCGTGCGGCGCCCAATGTGGTGGCGCGGATCTCGCAGTGGGCCGACGACCACCTGCGTCTCGTCCGGGTACCGCCGTCCCGCCTTCCGGGCAGTGGTGGGCGCTGGGCCTCGCGGCGCGAGCCTGGGGGACCGCGGGCCAGGCCGTCGGCCGGGGAGCGCCGAGGGCCGCGGCGCCCGGGGGGCGTGTGTGCCGGCGGCGGGGGCGCGGCCCGCGGGGCAGGGAGGCGGCCGGCGCGGCCTGAGGACTGCCGCCCGCGAGCGGGGCCTGGGCGCGCCTCGGAGAGCGAGACGCCGCGGCGCCCGCGGGTCCCTTAGGGCAGTTTGGGAGGAGGGGCAGAGGAGACCAGGGCAGGCGCGGCACGAAGGGGCTGTAGCCCGGGGAGAGTTCTTTTGGTTTGTAAGCGAAGTGAGAGGCCACTGGAGTTCGAGCAGGGGAGGGACATCTTAGATGACCAGGTGAGCGAGGACTGTGGCCAATCCTCGGTTGGGGTGTGGATGGTTTAGGTGTGGGATACAGAGAGGAATTATGGGGACTTCCCGCTGGGTGGATGGGGGTGAAAGTTGCTTGTAGGGAGGAGCTGGGGGTAAAAGATTTGTTGGGAAAATCAGAATTTTTTCGACATGTGAACTTGAAGATGGTCATTAGACTTCTAAACGGAGTTCTAGATGTTGTCTAGGCAACTGGATATAGGACTCTGGTATTGAAGGGAGATCAGAACAAGACGTCTAACTTGGGAACGAGCTACATAAACCTTAAGGAGTATTTAAAGCTTGTATGCATCTTGGAGTGAGTCAAAAGCTAAGGACAGAGTCCTGGAACTGAAACCTGAGAATTCTACCATTTATGATTTGGGGATTAAGTCAGCGAAGACTAGGAAGGACCAGTGAGGAAGGAGAAGGAAAATTAGGAAAGCCAGGTGTTCTAGAGGCCAAGTGAAGATAAAATTCTCAGAAAGATTGATTTAACTTTGTTAAATTCTGCTGAGAAGTTGAGTAGGATCATCAGCTTTGCAAGTACTCTGCGGTCAAGTGGCACAAGGGCCTCCTAGGACCATGTCTGTTTCATTCACGGGTGCATCTCCGTCCTTAGTGTACTGCCTACCACTTAGTGCTAGATAAACAGTTGTGGCATTAATGAATGCTAGATGCCTATGTGTTAATTGACAAGGGCTTGGTTCTTACAGTTAAGCAGGAACCATGCCTGCACTGTTTAAAATTGAAAAATGACCTGAGCAGGATTGAGAGAGGAAACTTTAAATGAGCACATGGATATTTTGCTCCAAATAAGCCAATCACAGAATGTACTCTTGTATTATTTTCAACTTCATTTCTTATATACCTAGTCGTGTTTATTTAAGGAAAGCATGTTAGATAACTTGCTGAGGGAGTTAAATTTTTTGCTGAATTCCTTTAGGCTTATTTCAGTTTAAATGAAGCACTTGAAAAACACTGCTAATTTTTCTCAACTGTTTACCCACATATATTTCCCAAAGTGTTATATTTTAAGGTTTTGGTGATAAAGTGTTCTACCAAATATTTAAATTCCCACCATAGACTCAGGGTTACATGAATTACTGTGGGCATTGCACAAGGGGTTTTGGACCCATGCATGTGTTGAAGGAACTTGTGGTTACAGTAATACAATTGTTTTCTATAGAGAACAATGTTACGTATATAATTATTGTGCATGCCAAATTTGGAGAAAAAAGGAAGGATTAATTAGTAGGTGGACAGTTTTTTGGAAGAAATGGCCTTTAGTTGAAGGATGTGTCTTTTTTGTACAGTTAGGTATAGGAAGACAGTCTTCTTTTTTCCCTTCTGATTAGTACTTCTGCTATTGTGAGTAGTAATTACTGAGATTTAATCATTAAATCTCTTTCTGAAGAGTATCAGCACCGTAATGACCATAGCCGGAATAATGTTACTTCTAAGAAGTGTTCGAATGGTAAGTTAAAAAATGAAGAAAGCATTATGATGAGCAGTAGACAATTTTTTCTCACTTCAGTTTTTATCTCAAGCAGTGTATCATTTTGTTATTCATATTAGAAGCTTTTAAATAGTATTTTAGAACAATGAACGTTTTTTAAGATCTTGGTTTAAAAATTAACACCTCCACAGGATATTATGAAAAATAATTGCACAGCCTGTTTCCTTAATCACTTCATGTGTAAAAAGAAATCTGAAGAGGATTTGGTTTGCTAGAATGCTGTAATCACTAAGTTTGCATTTTAGACATTTTGAAATATCTCAAAACTGTTTTCTATAGTGGTTTTACATTTAGACCATAGTTGAAATATGTCTCAGTGCTAATTTATACTTCATCAGATTTGCAACAATCAGGAAGGTCTATTTTCAGTGAATAAAGCAAGATGTACAATGTGAAAAAAAACAGTTTATGCTTTCGGTTAGCACTTTTTTGCCCTTCCAATATTTTAATAGTCATTGTGGAATCCACTTGATAATGCAGGATTTATAAGGATTTGTTTATATAACTGATTGTTGCCATAGGGTGTAATTTTACTGTCATATTACAATCTGACATGGATTTATTGCATATATGTATATTTAATTCCTACATTTATTATGTGTATATCATTTAATATTATTGACTACCTAGCATTATTCTACTATACTACATGTTTCCAGCTGTTGCCTTTTCCCCTGACTCCAGTGTCAGAACTTTTATCTTTTTTTTATTAATGCCTTGAACTCATTTTTCACCTTATATCTAATAGGCTTTCTTATAACATTTCCGTGATTTTGTAAGTGACTCATGTTTAGCTTTTATATATATATGTATATATATATATAAATTTGTAGAATGGAACTTTCGAAACTTCAATTCTCTTCATTTTACTTTTTTCGTTATCTTATAATATGTATGTTCCATGACATTTGTATTTTGAAGGTTTCACAGTTGTCTAAATATTAAATGATCTGATTAAGAGTTTAGATGAAAATAGTGCTGAGGTATCATTTCTCGTGTTAGCCCTTAAAAATACATGAATAATGTTGCTTCGGGTTCAACACTGGTGGGGGCTGTGAGGGAAGAGTGAAGAGAGGGAGTTAGTACTTTTTTGGTAGCCTTGTCATACTTTCATTTTGAGCTCACAGTTAACTGAAGCCTCGAAATTTTTTTCATGTATGCTGCTATTAACTGATTCTCCTTTACCCTTGATTAGTTTTGGGGAGTACAGCAGATGTTTATATTTTAGCCTGTCATTCTAGTTGTCAAGATCTTTTTAAATACTTACTCTGGCTTTTAGTATTCATACCCTTCCAAGCACCATCAGACTATGCTGTTTGATCCTTATGTTCTCATTCAAATCAGTGATGATCTCATTAAACTGTAGTGGATCCAGGTCAGAGGTTCATTGCTTATTCCTAGAATGCCCCCTCCCTTTAACATTGGTTAACTCAGCAGTGCCACCTTAGTGATATCACAAAACCATATTGGGAGCCATCTGTGTGAACATTAGCCCACATTTCTCTGTTTTTCCCAGCCTTTTCACTAATAACTTTTGAAAGTGACTCACTTAAAAGTGTACATGGTTTGGTTTAAAATTTCTCCTCTCTTTGTATTCTGCATATTCCACATTCTTGACTTAATGCAGGTAACAGATCCAGAATTCTTTCCCCCCAAATATTTTCAGAAAAATTTCGTAACACTCATCTACCTTTTCACTAGATTTACCAGTTGTTAACATTTTGCCACAATTGTGCTTTCTCTGTCTCCAAAACCATTTGAAATCAAGTTGTAGACATCAGGAAACTTGCTCTAAATACTTTTTAGTGTGCTTTGTAAGAACATTTTCCTACATAATCACATTAATACAACCACATCTAGTAAATTTAACATTTTTGCAGAAATATCTAAAATACAGTCCATATTGGGATTTATTTTCTCAAAATATCCTTTGTAGCTATTTTTTCCCAGTCTAAGATTCCATCACAGATTATGCATTATATTTAGTTGCCATGTCTCTTTGGTTTTCTTTAATCTAGAATATTTACTTATATTTTTTAACTTTGTTCTTCATAAGTCCAATTCAGCTATTTTATAGAATGTTCCACAATCCAGTTTGCATGTTTCCTCATAAGATTTACTGTAAACAGGAAGGTGATGGTGTATACTTACTTTTGTATTGCACCAAGGCTCCTCATGTCAATTTGTCTTCTAACATCATCATGTATAATACAATTAATAACCCCTTTCTACCATCTAATCCTCAGTCCCTATTAAAATTCCTTGATTGCCTTAATGATTTCTTTTTTAAATACGTGATCTGTTTAAATCAGGATTCAGGTGGTCCATATATCGCATTTGTTTGTTGTATCTCTTAAACCTTATATATTTTATAAGGGTCTATCACTCCTCACCTGCATTTTTCCCCCCAGGCCATTAATTTGTTAGAGCAGCCAAGTCATTCCGTTGACTGTTCCACATTCCGGATTTACCTGCTACGATATTTTTCTTGTGTGGACTTTTTTTCTTTTTCAGTTCAACTTAACTGTCTTAAGAAGTTGGATACTAATTTATCCTCTGCGTATGTGATGCTCTTAACTAGTCATGTGTATGAATAAAAATAGTTCCTGTAGTATTGTTAATGTGGAGACGTAGTTACAAAGTTTTGACTAACTCCATGGCATTAGGTATTTTAAATAAATTCATGTTAGCCATTAAAAAATTTTTTTTTTTGGCTTTTCTCTCCTACAAGATAAAAAATAAGGAAAAAAATCTTATTGATTGAGAATTCTAATTTAACTTCACTCTGCTTTGTTTAGGTTCTCCCAGCAGTACAAGCATGATTATATTTTTTTCTATAGAATAGGATGGTGACTGTTTAACCAGATTTGTGTGGGGCCAGGCACAGATTATACTCACTGCTTTTTGATGAATTGTTTCCTGTTTTGAGGATGTAAGCTTTTAGAAGTACCATTTAATGTTCTCTATATAGTAGCCTGGAATAGTAAAATAGTGACAAAAGAACTAAATAATGTTCTTATAAACACTTGATTAAATCAGACTAAAATATTAATATAAAACTAAGGACTAAGTTAAAATTTTTCTGATTATGTCTTCTTAAATGTTTAGATAACAATCTGACATACTTAATTTTGAAATGACAATAATAAAATATTATATTTTTCTCCTTGTAAATCAACAGACATCAAAGTTTACGAGTTCTTCAGATATTCCACTAGAATTTGTAAGGAGGAATGTCAAACTTCGTGGACGAGTACGCCGAATAACTGAGAATGGTTTAGAGATCGAACATATTCCCATTACTTTACCTATTATATCTTCTTGGAGAAGTAAGTAAAGTGCAAGAATAATATGACTAAATAACTATTTTAGTGTTCCTTTATTAGAAGTTATTTGTAAAATAGCAGAAACATTTTTAACTTTTAATAACTCTCCATTATCTGTGAGAGAAATTCCAAGTTCTTGGCCTTACATACAAGGAACTGTTTAATTTGGCTCTACATTTCCTTTCTTCCTTCCCTCTTTTCTTTTTATTCTGCCACTCAGTATTTCATTCAGGAATTCAAGTATTCACTCTGCTAATATTGAGCAGCTATTATGTCTAGGCTCTATATTGGCTGTGCAGTGCTGAGTGGAACAAACAAGACCACGCTATCCCTTGGAGCTTTGCAGTCTAGTGGAAGATAGACAACAAACAAATGAAAATTGTCCTAACAACCTTGAAGAAAAGGAACAAGGCACTAGGATGAGAATTACTGGGGGTCACAAGAAGGGGAAACCTACACATTCAAAGTGATCAGAGGAAGCCTCATTGAAGAGTTGTTATTTAATCAGAGACCTGAAGAATGAGAGAAGGCTAGCTAGGAAGAGCATGCATAGAAATGAGCTGGGAACTTTTGATAATCCATAAGAAGACTCGTGTAGCTGGGGCCTAGGGATGAAGGGGACAAGAGGCACCAAAGGAGATTGAAGAGCTGGGAGGGGGGCTGGGGCCACAATTCCCATTTCTCCCTGCTTCATGTCAGAGACCCCAGCCACACAGCCCTTCCTGCTGCTTCCATGTGCTCTCATAGGCATAGTTCTTTGCTCAGAGCCCCTTGGCTCCTGTTAAATTCTGATTGATTCTTTAGTATCCTGCTCAAATATCAGCTCTTCTGTGAAGCTTTCTTTAATTAATATATATATTATTAATATATATATATATATATACACACACACATCTGGAAGGTTTAAAGGAAAAATATAAATTGGTTAAGCCACAAATCCTGTTCTAAAGCTTACTGAAGTGGAATTTTGAAATTATGTCTTATGTTACATACTTGTATTACTTTAAATGTACTCATATTGTTTTAAAGAAAACGTGAATACAGGCAAAAATGGATATTGAGAGAGTCTGGATATTTGAAAATAAACATAATCAGTTGTTTTTTGGGAATGAGATGACTTTGAAATTTGCTTTGCAGCATGGTATTAAAGCTAAATTTTTTTCTACCTCACCTTTTTTAGAAGAGCCGTGTGGTGTTCTGCTGGTTAAATTGGCTGGAGTAGAACTCACTGAATCTGGGAAGGTGTGGTTGCAAAAAGAGCTAAAACCTTCCCAATTACTGTGGTTCCAACTTCTTGGAAAGGAGAATTCAGCACTGTTTTGCTATCTTTTAGTGAATAAGGTAAGTCGTATGAAGAAACAATGACCAATATATCATGGGCCTGAAGTTTTGTCTTTTTAAACCACTACTCATAGTGATTATGTATAGAGAGCCAGGTGTTTCACATATAAATTTTGTTATAAAATTCTACTTATAGATGTTTATTATGGAAAAAATAGAAAATTAATAAAAAGGAAACATACTGAAAGTTTTTAATGATTCTGGACATTGCTAATTTAAGTAATATCTTTATACGTTTATTTATGTATGAGTATATTATATCACTTGTTATTAGAAACCCCTTGTTCAGTGAGATTTGTCACCTGGAAAGTACAAAGAGCAAGGGTGTTTTCTGACGGTAAATATTGCTCAGTTTTTGAACTTGAAAGTTGAGCATATTTAAGTTATGATGCATAGTCAGTCAGCTGATTGCCTCAGTAGTTTTCTTAAACCGCTATGATTGGTTGTAGTCACCGTGTAACTGGAGATGCTGCTGACTTTCACTGGTGTCCTGAGTTCTCAGATGTGCCTTACTCTAAATTCCTTCTGGTGGATGATTACTGAGAAAGAATACAGAAGAATTAGTTGACAGGGTTGAGAACAGTTTGTTTTTCTTATTTTTAATATCCTTTATTATATAACAAACAATAACCTGAAGATAATCTGACATTAGAGCAATTAAAATTGCAACCATTATAGTTCTTAAAAATTCTTTGAATTCTTAATAGAAAGTGTTATGAAATCTATTAATTTTGCATGTCCAAATCTCATTTATTTCTTTCAAAATGAGAATTATTCAACACTGGTTGAAGCATCTTACGTATATAAAATTATATAAAAGGTGCTGAAAGCCTAACAAAAGTATTACCTTTTCCTTTAAGTTAAGGAGTATATTTTATTTACCCCTAAAACCACCCAATGGAATCATTGTTTTTATTCCCATTTACAGGTGGGACTCAGGGTAAATAAGTGGAAAAGCCTGTATTCAGCTCAGCTTTTCATGGTTCCTGAGCCCTCCCTTCACCCTCCCTTCACCCTATATACTTTACAGTACTTCCTAGAAGGTGACTAAATGATGCTATATGCATATTGTGGTAATTTACCTCTGTTGGATTTTACTAATGTATGAGGTTGAATTTTAATTATTCTGAATTTGGTTTAAGGGAATGAGCTCCTAAAATTTAAAAGACTAAGAAAAATATAATAAACCTTTGGTGAATCAGAAACTCCAGAGACCAAGAGAGCTCTGAAATAAAGGGTTTATTGAGCCTTTGCAGATGCTCGCCAGATAAGGACTGGGTCCTGGGGCAGGAATTTTCTGCTTCACCAGCAGCACAGCCAATTCACAGAAACAACTTGTCCACCAGACTCAAGAAACAGGATATTTATAAGGTGTCTTAAATAAAGTTCTTTAAAATTTTCATTGGCTATAGATAAAGAAGGTGGACTCATGCAAACTGGGGAAGGTCCAGGGATAAGTATATAGTCCATAGGGAAGGCTCATGGATTGGTTGCTGGTGATAGTTAGATGCTTGTCATATGCTATTCACACTCAAGAGGGACGCAGTGGTTCTGGGGACCCTTTAGATAATTGTTGAAGTGACTCATCCAGGAATGTGGAGTGTCTGGTTACCTATGGCCTATTACTGATAATAAGTAATGGCCTATTTTTTTCCCCCGACTAATTTACAGTATGAAGGAGCTCCTGCTTAGCTAATCCTATAGCCCTTGTGAGACTTTAACCTCAAGATTAATTTTAACAAAGAACTAATAATTTTTTGAAATGTAGTTGCTAACAATATTGTATTGGTTTCAAGTATACAACATAGTGATTCAATAATTATGTATATTATTAAATGCTCACAGGTTAAGTGTAGTTACCATCATGTCAACATACAAAGATGTTACCAATATTATTGACTATATTCCCTATGCTGTACTTTCATCCCCCTGAAAACTTTATTTTATAATTGGAAGTTTGCACCTATTTATCCCATTCTCCTATCTCCCTGTCCTGCCCCCACAAGGCAATCACTAGTCTACATTCCGTGTTATAAGAAATGTTAAAGGAACTGCTTTAAGAGGAAAAGAAAAGGCCATAACTAGAAGTGAGAAAATTATGAAGGGAAAAAATTTCACTGGTAAAAGGAAACATGTGACAAAGGCAGTAGACCAATCACACAGAAGCTAGTAGGAAGGTTAAAGGACAAAATTGGTAAAATCAATGACATCTAAAAATTAGTTAAGGGAATAACTAAATAAAAAGGTACAAAAGAAATGTGGAGGAGAGGGAGTAAAAAATGTGGTGTTGTTAAAGCATTAATATTTTAATAGCTTCATTAGACAATGTACAGTTAAATTCTAAAAGTGTGAAAATGCCAGGTTTAAAGGAGACATCAAAAGGAATAAAGTAACCTTTTGTTCCTAAAATGCAGTAACTTTTGGTACATGAATATAAGGAGTTAATAAACACAGTTTTAAAGAGTGATAAGTAAAATACTTAGGAATAAACCTAACCAAGGAAGTGAAAGACCTATACCCGGAAAACTATAAGACTCTCTTAAGAGAAATTGAAGAAGACACTAATAAATGGAAATACATCCCATGCTCTTGGGTAGGAAGACTTAATATTGACAAAATGGCCATCCTGCCTAAAGCAATCTACAGATTCAATGCAATCCCTATCAAAAAACTGACAGCATTCTTCAACGAACTGGAACAAATAGTTCTAAAATTCATATGGAACCACAAAAGACCCCGAGTAGCCAAAGCAATCCTGAGAAGGAAGAATAAAGCAGGGGGGATCTTGCTTCCCAACTTCAAGCTGTATTACAAAGCCACAGTAATCCAGACAATTTGGTACTGGCACAAGAACAGACTATAGACCAGTGAAACAGAATAGAGGGTCCAGAGATTAACCCATGCATATATGGTGAATTAATATCTGATAAAGGAGCTAAGGATATACAATGGGGAAATGACAGCCTTTTCAACAGCTCGTGTTTACAAAACTGGACAGCTACATGTAAGAGAATGAAACTGGATCATTGTCTAACCCCATACACAAAAGTAAACTTGAAATGGATCAAAGACAATGTAAGTCATGAAACCATAAAACTCTTAGAAAAAAACAGAGGCAAAAATCTCTTGGACATAAACATGAGCAACTTCTTCATGAACATATCTCCCCGGGCAAGAGAAACAAAAGCAAAAATGTACAAGTGGGACTTTATCAAACTGAAAAGCTTCTGTACAGCAAAGGACACCATCAATGGAACAAAAAGGCATCCTACAGTATGGGAGAATATATTCGTAAATGACATATCTGATAAGGGGTTGACATCCAAAGTATATAAAGAGCTCATGCACCTCAACAAACAAAAAGCAAATAATCCAATTAAAAAATGGGCAGAGGAACAGAACAGACACTTCTCAAAGAAGAAATTCAGATGGCCAATAGGCATGTAAAAAGATGCTCCACATCCCTAATCATCATAGAAATGCAAATTAAAACCACAGTAAGATATCACCTCACACCAGTAAGGATGGCCACCATCAAAAAGACAAACAACAACAAATGTTGGTGAGTATGTGGAGAAAGGAGAACCCTCCTACACTGCTGGTGGTAATGTAAATTAGTTCAACCATTGTGGAAAGCAGCATGGAGGAGGTTCCTCAAAAAACTCAAAATAGAAATAGCATTTGAACCAGAAATTCCACTCCTAGGAATTTTCCCTAAGAATGCAGTAGCCCAGTTTGAAAAAGACAGATGCACTCCTATGTTTATCACAGCACTATTTACAATAGCCAAGAAATGGAAGCAACCTAAGTGTCCATCAGTAGATGAATGGATAAAGAAGATGTGGTACATATACACAATGGAATATTATTCAGCCATAAAAAGAAAACAAATCCTACCATTTGCAACAACATGGATGGAGCTAGAGGGTACTATGCTCAGTGAAATAAGCCAGGCAAGAAAGAAAGACAACTATCAAATGATTTCACCCATCTGTGGAGTATAAGAGCAAAGCAAAAACTGAAGGAACAAAACAGTAGCAGACTCACAGAACCCAAGATTGAACTAACAGTTATTACCAAAGGGAAAGGGACTGTGGAGGATGGGTGGGAAGAGAGAGATAAGGGGGAAAAGGGGGCATTATGATTAGCACACATAATGTAGGGTGGGGGGTGGAGGGGCGGTGCACAGGGAAGGCAGTACAACACAAGATGATTGTACTGTGTACTGATTCTATAGCATCTTACTACGCTGATGGACAGTGACTGTAATGGAGTATGTGGAGGGGACTTGATAATGGGGGGAATCTAGTAATCACAATATTGCTCTTGGATTGTATATTAATGATACCAACATAAAAGAAAGAAATCAAGTGTGATAAGGAAAAATTCTGAGATGTCCTAACATTGACATAAGATGTCTCTCATGGGAGAGCATGAGAGAGACAGGGGAAGGTAATCAGGGAAGGGAAGGTGATCATCAGGGGGATGAAAGTACAGCATAGGGAATATAGTCAATGATATTGGTAACATCTTTATATGTTGACATGATGGTAGTAACTTGTTACACTTAACCTGTGAGCATTTAGCAATATATATAATTGTTGAATCACTATGTTGCACACTTGAAACCAATATAATATTGTTAGCAACTACATTTCAAAAAATTATTAGTTCTTTGTTAAAATTAATCTTTAAGTTAAAGTCTCACGAGGGCTATAGGATTAGCTAAGCAGGAGCTCCTTCATACTGTAAATTAGTAGGGGGAAAATCCTATTTGTATTGTTTCATTAAGAAGGAAGGTATTTCATGAAATGAAATTTGCAGAAGGATGAAGATTCAAGGGCCAGGCCTATGTTTTATGTTAGTTGTGTGTGTGTGTGTAAAGCATTTTAAAATGGATATAGATGCCAGTGCCTTCCTAAACACATGAAATTATGAAGCTAATTTAACAGCTTAGTGATGATTTAGTTGACTTTGGATTTGTCAACTTTTTAGTTAGTTTATTTTGCTGTGGCCTCCTGTCATTATGCATATCTTGGGTGCTCCATTCTCCCTCTAAACAATGAACAAACCCCAAATCGCTTTTCATTCTCTGTTACTTCTATGCCTCTTTGGGTTAGGGGACCAATGAGCTTATGGGGGAACTGTGTTCTAAAAGAGGGTCAACTTTGAGTCAGTTGAAATGTAATGAAATTTGTAATGTAATGCAATTCCTGGACTTAGCATTAGCTGTGCTAAGCTCTTGGGGAACCCTTTTGCATTGTTTTTCTTTTCTCAGGAGGAGTAAAGCTGCTGAGTGACTGATTTTGAAGTGAGTAAGATGTTATCAGTATAGTAGCAATTATCTTAAATAATTGGTTTCTGTCATTTTTTTGTTCAAGGGTAGATATTTTAATGTGAATCTGAATGAAGAAATTTTGAGAAGAGGCCTTGGCAAAACCGTTCTTGTTAAAGGGCTAAATTATGATTCTAAAATCTATTGGAAAATTCACAGAAACTTACTTAAAGCTGAATTAACAGCCTTGAAAAAAGGAGAAGGAATGTGGAAGGAAGAATCTGAAAAGGAAACTTATTTGGAAAAATTCAAAGGTTCCTGGAGAGAAATATGGAAAAAAGACAGTTATTTTAAAAAAATTGGATCAGATTTCAACTTGAAAAAAGGAAGTTATTATGACAAATTTAGACAGACTTATGAAACATGGAAAGACAGCATGAATAACTACTCTTTACTACTGAAGTTCAGAGAACTTATAAGTCGCATACACTTTCGTAGAAAAGGGTGAAATATTCCAAGAGGGCTAGAGGTGATCTACTCTGAAAGGAGCAAAATATGTAAATATATAGATATGTTTCATTGAGTTGAAATGGAAATTTCATCAGTGATCAAAGGTGCATTCTAATGGTATTTAAATATTTCAGAGATGCTTATTATAAATGTAATATCAGAATAATTTAAACAAATTATGATTCATGTAATAGGCTTTTAGGAAAAATGAAACATTCTATTAAAGGTTACCAGGTTGGAAGATATACATGTCGTGCTAATATTTGAAGAGGGAGTTTAACTATTGGCCAAATAGTGTTCTTTTAGTTATTTTGGGAAGCCATATTTAATTTTGTTTAAAAGGAATGTTTTTAAAAATTTTATCAGTTTTGCTTGCTTATAATAAAGTACTCTCTTTATACATCATGTCTGAGCCTACTCTTTTCTCCCAACTGCTTTCTAACTGCTTGCAAATTTGGATTAGAGCTACAAGACGTCACTTAGATCATTTGTAATAATAAAGAATGGCTAATTTCTACCTGTTGTTAGAAGAGAGAGATAATCCTAAGGATAAAAACAATGTGTTGAGGATGGCAGCACAGAGGATAGGATGAAAAAGGTTGCCTTAGGATACTGTTGAGTCCCTGAAGTAGCCAATCCTTGAAGCTATCTTGCCACACAGTTTCTCATGTGAGGTAGTAAAGTTCTTGATTTTTAAAAGCCAGTTTAAGTTGGTTTGAGGATTTGACATACATAATTGCTGCTAGAATCATCCTGACAGTATAAGCCTCTTTCACAGCACCAGCAATAATATACTAACATCCACAATGTCTACAGTTTTTCTTAACGGTTTGTTATACTGAAGTCAGAGGTATTATTTCATTCAAATAATTGACTCCTACTAGAATCAGTAATACAGAATGAGAAGTTCACTGCTGCTGCTTGGTTAAAACAAAGTGGATTTCCCAACATTTTCTAACTGAATATTAAGTTTTAGGTCCCAAATTTTCCAAAGATTCTTTTTTTGTATGTGATTTTATTTCATCACCTTTGGAGTAGGATATGAGGTTACATCCTAGTTTTTATTCCCTGGGTCTAATGCCTCCAAACCTTTTTGTTTTAAGGGAATATTTTATTTTTATTTACAGAGATTTAACAAGAGTAGATTTAAACTAGTTTTAGGGCAAGTTCTTGAGCCGCCTCTGTCCTAGTTTGCCTCCCAGAGATGTCAGATCTTATACATAACCACTGTGGTTAGTTCCGATGACCTGTACCAGCTCCGCTAGTGGGTCCCTATCTTCCCAGTTAAGCCATGTGAAGGTGAGGCTGTTCTTTCTGTGTACTGGACAGCCTGGTCTAACTTTGCCTTTGAGGATGTAGTAGGGAACCCTAATTTTATGGACAGGGTGGGCAAGAAGAAAGTGGACCAGTGGGACTTCTACCATGTGCAGTCACTGTTAGCTGAATATTCTTATTCTCCGCTTAGGTAGTGGCAATTTGAACACCTCCATGAAGGTTAGGACAAATCCCGTTGGCCAGTAATGTTCTTCCTGTTCCTCCACAACCTCTGCTTTTCAGACTTTTGTCTTTGGTGTCTAGTAGACCAGTTTGTTTCATGACCCAAGGGCAAGGTGAACCAGATAATTGCAGAGAGGCTGGATCTTTGTTGGTGGAGATGGTTATATCGGGACCATCAGAGAAAATGGAAAAGTTCCTTTTAGGCTGAATTTCTGACCAAAGCCCAGGTCCTTTGTCTTTCTCAAGAAGAAATTTACTACTTGTTGGTCTCTTGTCTTTAAAACAACAGGGTCCAATCACCTTTTCCCTCTGGTCTTCTGTCCTTTTGTTATTATGAATCTAAAAAGTAAACCAGTCAGTCATTTTACCAGCAAAAACAAGTTTTTTTCGAGAATAGCAGAGAATTGCAATCTGGGATATGCAAGCTACTGCAGAACCATAGGCATGTCCTGGAAACAAAGGAGAGGAACACTCTTTTATAGAGGAAGGGGTGTAGTTAGGAGGGCTGTTTCTAAGCCAAAAGTCCATTGGAGTGAACTGGAAGTTCCCTGTATCATGGCTTCTCATTGGCTGGGCTGTAGCAGGGAGGCAGAAGGTGGAAGCAGTATAGAAAAGTGTGGCATCTGTCTCTTCTGGTGGGATCTGAGATTGATGAGTGGTGGGCATGTGAGCATCTGTAGGCCTCCTGACACCATGTCAGTGAGGTTTCCCTTAGTTAATATTCACAGTATGTTGAGTATTTAGACGTCTCTTTTTACTTTTAAAATATATTTCTATCAAATATCTATTTCTTACTGTGTTTCAAAAGGATTGGATTTTTATGGTCCACATTTACCATCTATTTTCTTAGATCCACATTTCCTTTCTGGGGTTTTATTTATCATTTTCCAGTCATACTTCTTATGTATGAAATGTTAACAGCAACACCAACTTTATCACAATGTTGAACAAAACTTGGCCGAAGAGGAAGAACTATGGCCATACGTATATGATCCAGCACTGTCATTATTTGGCAGCTTTTATTTTGGCAGATAAAAGCATATCTCAGCAACACCCAGAGATGGAAACAACCAACCAAAGTCTCCTAACATTTTGCTTTCTGTTTGTGGTGCTGATGTCTCTGTTCCATCCATGAGATTGTCCAAAGGCTGAATCTTCTCTAGCTTATGTGGTCATCACAGTATTGGACCATGAGGCCTCTAGAGGGCCTCCGTGTCATAGTTCCCAGGTTCGGGAGGTTTCTTAACTATTTCTTTCCCCACGTGCTTGATTTCTGAGGCTGTGTAGTTCACAGCCTTTACAGCCTTTTACTGCTGGATCCCACCATCTGTGATAGTAAGGACGCATAGGTTTGCATGTGGAAGGAGTGGGCTTAATCACTCCACTTGTGCGTGTGTGTGTGTGTGTGTGTGTGTGTGTGTGTGTGTGTGTGTAGTATTGGTAAGGCTGCTTCAGTCTTTTCACTTAACATGGTGTCAGTTCAACAGACAGGAAACATGTATTCTTAAGTGATGGGAATATGGGCTATCCACCAGGTACTTCCTCTATCTTGCTTCATTTTATCATGCTTCTTTCACCTTGTCTCAGGAAAATGAGAGGCTGACTGGCTCAGTAGCTTAGCAAATGTCAGGGAAGAATCATGACTTCCCAACTTAGTGGAAACAGGATATATGGTGTACTCAGTCTTGTGGAAAAGGGAGTGAAGTGCTAATATCAAGTCTCCTGTGTGAATGGGAGAGAGAAAGGATGATTGCTGCCCCCAGGACCTAACTCTCTTAACTCCACCAAGATTTCTTAACATCTCGTTCGTGAAATCTGAATCAGCTTGGCTCATCCCACCACTGGGAAAGCCTGGGGAATCTGCTGCCTGAAATGCCATCTGCTAAAAACTTGTCTCAAAAATTAGGGCCACTGATTCCCTGCTCTCTCTCATGTTATGCTGCTCTCTCTGGTAACTGTGAGTAGGAAAGATCCCAGTCAGTATCTCACACCAACCCTGGTATGCTTGAAAACCTGCTTTAGGAGAACTAACTGCACCTGAGGCAGCCGGTAATGCTGTGCCAGGAGTTTCATCCTCTGCTGGATTTCTGCAGATCATTCGGTTCCTCACTAAGGTGAAGTCTGTGTGGAGGAGGACAAACGATCTGCCCCTCTAGGTACTTGGCTGAGATACCCCTGTAATAAAAGAGGAATTGACAGGAGAAAAACAAACAGAACTTTAATAACACATATACCTCCTACATACCTCAGGAAAACTACCCCCGGAAATGGTCTCCTGTATACAAGGGATACCCAGTAAAATGAACTCCCCAAAATGGCCCAAGCCAAACTAACTCCCCAAAATAACCTTTCTAGCTAAAGACAAAAGATGTTGGGGGTGAGAGGGGCTAGTTTTGGGAGGTCCCCTGGAAAAGCAGAGTAAACAAGGGTAAGATTGTTATGCAGATTTAAGTCCTCGCCTTCATTGAAAAATCTCTAGAGATTTAGAGTCAGATTTAGTTTTCCTATTATAGACAGGGAGATGCCCTCACAAATGGAGATTTCCCTTATAAATGTAAATTGATCTTACAAAAGGGTAACTTTCACTTGGTTTTCAGAGTATTTCCTGTGTCTGCAGTTTCTTAAAAATAATCAGCTCAAGGATAATCTTTATGCCAAGAAAGTCTATTTTGGGGTGGAAATGTTTGCATCTTTGAGATATGGGTCCCTCTCTGGGATAGCCTAACTCCATGTGTTGTCAAGGGGTATGTTGGTCAGTGTGTTCTAAATCCAGCTGTTGTATATGACATTGATTTGAAGACAATGACTTCATAAAGGGACAGCATGTTTCAGGAAGCCAAGCAACAGCAGCATTTCAGAAATCAGGGCACCAGCAGAATCCTTACTGCGTAAGCCACTATTAAAAGGGGTGGCAGATGTTCTAAGGAGCAGCAGCTGCTGTTCCTGTAGCTGGGGTAGAGATAGTTTTCCTGCTCTTTTCTGTGGTGTGGGAAGGAAAAAAGTTCTCCTCAACCCTCTTAGAGTTCCTGGCTGGGTCTGGAAATTAAATTGACAAAGACAGATTCTCAGTAGAAAAGTGTACAGATTTATTAAATACAAGTTTTGTGACACTAGACCTTTGTAAGGGAGTAAAGACCCAAAGAAACAGACCTGGGTATTTTACGCTAGGTTTGATGAAGGGTGCACAGTGTGGAGGAACATGGGAGGCTAAGGAGTATGAGGTAAGTGTAGTGAACTGGGGGAAATTTAGGAAGGCATCTTTGTTAGGCTTCTTAGTGTCCCCTAGTCTTTGGAAATAAGGATGCCCCTCCCTTTCTCCAGCTACAGGGAGAGCACCTGCCCCATGAGTATTTCATGGCCTGCTTCTGGGAAGAAGGATGGGGGAAAGAAGAGGCCAGAGTGACCTTACTGAAAGGAAGGAGCGACACACAGCAGCAATTTCACCAGAGAGTTCCACTTTATTGGGGAAAAGTACTAGGTTATATAGGGAGGGACATAAACTGATTGAGGTGTCACGTCAACGGGACTGGTGGCTATTGGCCAGGTGCCGGGATTGGGGGGTGAAAGGAAAGGAGCGACACATAGCAGCAATTCACCGGAGAGTTCCGCTTTATTAGGGAAAGGTGCTGGGTTATATAGGATGGGGCATGAATTGATTGAGGTGTCACTTCTACGGGGCTGGTGGCTGTTGGCTAGGTGCTGGGATTGGGAGGGGGGCGAGAGGTGATTGGGCTTCAGGTGGCGCCGGCGGGAACTGAGGACCCCGAAGAGAAGCCGGAAGTTTGCCATCTTACTGGTGGGGACCCTTCATTCCCCCCTTTCTCCTCTATGGGTTTGTGGACGTTGCTTTCTCTCTGGCTGCTTCCTGCTGAACAGGGGCGGAGAAGGGAGTGAGGGCTTGAG